TCAGAACCTCTAATTGAAAGGTTAATGCAGTGGCTCTGACTCCATTGGGCTAGGATGGAGCAATTAGGTTTTTAAACAACCTCAGGTGATTCTAATGGGCAGCCAGGGCTGCTGATAACCTCTGGGATATCAGAAAGTTTAAAACAAGTTAGTGGCAATATTATTTCAAAAATCTGTTGCACATCTGTTCCCAGGAAACCGTAATAGAAGTATGGTATCTAGAGCACAGGAAATGATTGTCCTTCTCTACTTTTCCCAGTTCTGCCACATTTTAAGAGGCACATTGACTAGTTGAATTCATCCAGCATGGCAACAGCCTGAACATTATATCATCTCTGACACACAATCAGAAAATGGCACGATAGTTGTCTTTACATATTATTAAAGGGCTGTTTTGTAGAAGAGGGATTAGATTTTTTTTTTTTTGCCTGTGTGTTTTATAAAGGGTAGAAATTAAAAGGAGGAAAATTCTCAATATGAAAGATAGTTTTTTACTAAAATGTGCTTTCTAAATGCCATCATCGGAGTTATCCAATCAGACATTTTGTACTGTCAAGTTGCTAAGAAAGTAGATGTTAAGTTTTCTCACCACAAATAACTGGTAAATATGGGAGGTAATACATATGCTAATTAGGTTGATTTAACCATTCTACAACATATGTATATTTCAAGACATCAGGTTGTATACCATCAATATATACAATTTTTATTTGTCAATTTAGAAAGTCAATAAATAAAAGAAATTGTACAATATCTTAAATAGGATCTCGGGAACATTCCCAAGGAATCTGTATGTATCATTTACATTTACCTTCCAACTTTGAACCACCTAGATTGCGGTGTTCATGAAGGCCAAATCCATACTCTCCCTTCCCTTTTCTCACCAGTAGCACTGCCCCAGCCCCCCCAGCAGAGCAGAACCTTAATAACGTGTATCAAATATATAAGTGCTGAATTTACATTTCTAATTTTCGCAATGAACCCAAGGCTGTGTCTGCAACGCAGAGTGAAGGTAGGCATTGGTATCCATTCAGGTTTATTTTTAACTTTACTTAAAATATACAATTCTTGAGGCAAAGATTAGTGATTTTGCCTTAAATGATTATCGCAATTTCTCATTTACCTTCTTACCTGTCTTGAAGACAGTTCTATAGAAACACACACGCACCGCACGCCCCACTCCATTTCATCACGCCTGCTAGAGCACACCACCTCCATAGCCATCCCTTCTCCACCTTCTCTTTGTGCCTGCCCAAGTGTTCAGGCCCAGTGACTGTGGCAGGGCCTGGCTGTTCATTTCACTCCATCCACTGCTGCTATCCACTGATCACCATGGCTAATCAGATGGCATGCCAGCCTGCACCAATCATTAAGATGACCCAAATTAACAGCCTGGCCATGTCACAGTACATTCATTCCACAGACACAGACATGGCCTGAGTGTGAGGCAGAAACTCGGATGTGCTTGTTTGTTTTTGCATTGTAACATGCATTATTGATTGCCATGAGCTGCTTTAGTGCTTTAAATCTGCAAATGAGAATCATCTGTCAATTATTATAGCCAGAATTGAGATCTGAGGGCAAAAGAGAAAATGTATATGCCTTTTTCTTTCACCAGCATTTCCTTTCATTTGTCATTTTCTTTCACAGTTGTGTTACAAAGCATCTTAGCTCAAGACATTCCCCAGCTTTTTACTTGGAAGGGATACTTAGTCAGAATAGTTTTATACCCTGAAAAGAGAAACAAGTCTTCCCCAGCCTTGTGAAGAAGGTAGTGCAGGCACTGAATTGTGAGTTCATTGTGGGAATTTTGTAACCCGGTTTCCTAGCATACACCACTCAGTAAAGCTCAGTTCTTAATAAATCGCAGGCAGCCTTATCTTAATCACAGTTAGAATTGTTGGCACCTTGCAGTGTCTGGTGTAAATTTTATCCCCCAAATATTTGCATTCTTGATAGCCATTTTTTGACAATACATTCTAATAATCAGAAGGCCCTATTACCTGCTAAATGTTAGTCTAAATGAACAATCCATTATGCACGATAAGTTTTATAAAACATTTACAGATAGAGATCATCTTTAATTAAAATTAACTTCCACATGAAAGCCAAGTGCACTAATGATTCACAATGACCTTTTATTACCTGCAGTCCCCTGTTTTGGCTGGATGATTGACAGCTTGCTGTTTGGCTACCATGTTGAATTTCAGCTGACAAGACTTTTCATTTTAACTCAATTTGCCCGCCTATCACAAGCTGGTGGCAGGCCAGACCCAAGTCACCCAGCTTTGCCTCAGCAGCTTGCTCTAGTTCTCATTAGTACGCATTTATTCAGTGGAAATTGGAAGACAAATGCTTGAAGGCATGTGAACTAAGTATAGCAAATTAGGTTTAAAGACTGAATATTTATAAGTATATGGAAAGTTTTTTTTTTTTTTAATTCTAGAGCGAATTGAGAACTGAGTGCTAGCTTTGGTATAAAAGAAATGAAGATAGAAGGGGGAAGATTCTAAGAATAACAATACTATAAGCTTTTTCTTTCCATTTTGGAAATATGTAAAATCTCTCTGACAACACCTTATCAAATAAAAACCTGGCTTCTCTTTCATGGAGTGCCTGCACAATGAAGTTTAGCACCTCGTGTGTGAGAAGGGGGAAAAAACGAGGGTCATGTTCATTTGTTGCTTGGTTATCCCTTGGTATGTTTTAAATTGCCTTGTTTGTTCGGCACTAGCACAGAAACAGATGTTGCTCTACCGTGCAGGATAATTTACTGTACCTCCTGGTGCAGCATGGAAGTCCTCCCAGGGCCCAGCTGGTCTGTCAGTGGCACTGGCTGGTGTCTGCTCAACTATGACAACTACAAGTAGAGGCTGCAATTTTTTTATTGTGCAGTTGTCATTCTTCTCAACGTATAGCTCTGCCTGCATTCGTACTGGGGCTGGTGGAAAAGCTGCTGGCTTTTGTGTCTGTATGTCGTACTGCAGAGCCACGTAAGCCCTGCTCTCCATTGTTGATAATAACGCAACTCATTACTTCTGTCGTCTAATGATTATCGGCGTGATCGCTCGGAGCGAGAGCCAACCTCATCTTGCACACATAACTGGTACTGGAAGGTAAAACAGATTTGTCACTTACGATCTGACCGCTAAGCCACACTTTGTGCTCCATTATTGTGATTAACTTCTGCATAAGATATGCTTGCCCAATTGTCATTTGTGATACTGCGGTGGGCGCAAGCTGCCACGCTTCCCGAGAGCACATCAGCCAATCCGATGTGACCATGTTATTCGGACTATTAAATGCCTGCCCTGTCTCAGCAGCCACCCCACAATTATTTTGCTTTTGTATTTCTTCTTCCCACACCCCTACTGGACTTGTTGGGCGAACAGCACTGCTACATATGTCAGCTACCATTTCACACCTCAAGCTAAGATGATGCCACGCTATTGTTGATCCAACAGAGCCAGCAGCAGTACATGGGAAGCCGACCCTTGCTTTTCACCATAGAAATGTTGGTCTTTGGTGTCTGGCCAGCTGAAATCCGTCGTGTCAGGTGCCTTGTGGCTATCTGCAGTAGAGTCCATGTTCCAAAACCAAAGTTCTTTTCTGGCCTCATCACCAACAAACCGATTTGACTCTGCCTGATTATAATAACGAAGGCAGTCCAAGAGAATATGCACAGCCTCACTGTACGTCACATTGAATCACCGCACTGGCCACACAGAGCTGACCACAGCCTCATTTCTTTAGACAAATGCATGCTTAAGGAAAACCCTCCTGGGAGAAGGCACCCAAAGCTAGTTGGTATCCCTGTGCAAGCTGTGCATAGATTTAAATTTCACTGAAATAACATTTATTTTTATTTTTTGGCTGATGCAAGCCGTCACTGATGGGCCTGCTTTTAATAAACTAATAATTGGGTACTCTGTGTTTCAGAGCTTTACCGAACACTGAGAAACTGGGCTGTGTGTGTATGTGTGTGTGTGTGTGTGTGTGTGTGTGTGTGATATCTAAATTGCAAGTCATAAACATGAGCATTTGTTATCATGCGAAGGGGGAAAAACTCCATTTGGAGCTCTTTTTCACATTGCTGATTAGAAAGAATCAAGCTTTATATTCTAGGACCCATTCACGCTGGTGGAAACATAGTCAGTTTTGATTATGAAGAGAGAGATGCAGACCTAGACAGGAGCTGCACGCTGATATGCATGCTATCAGAATGATTTATGCAAATTATGCATATTATTCCCAAAGGAATTCCTCCTCAAACTGCCAGGATAAATTGCCGGAAATTAGCCATAAAATCTGTCGTGCTAGGAGCAAAAGGTGAAGGCCATTGGGAAAGCAAGGACATTCAGCTTCTGGAATCTTCCAGGATATGATGGTGGCTGTTATTCTCCCTGGACACTGAGGAAAATATGGTTTTCCTCTGAATCCTACAAAAGTATTTTCCTTTTGAAATTTTTCCAGCAAATGCTGACTCACATTTTATTTACAGCTAGCATAAAAGAAATTAAGTGTTAAGCTGTCTCAGAAAGTGCTACTACAATTACTTCACTATTAAGTGCCTAAGTGGTTATTAAATGACTAAGCTGGCTTTAAAGACATCGGAGTTCTAAAGGTTGGTAAAATAACCCACCAGCAGTGAACTTTAACTGGGACGTGGTTTTAGTGTCAAATATGTATACCCATAACACAGCATTTCTCTCTTGCAGACCATTCTTTCCTACAAAATCTTAATAGCTTTCCGCTGAAATACAGCACTGCTGCCTGCTGCCTGTCAGATGCCCCTGAGCTGCGCTGGGGCCAGACCACTGCCCCTCCTCACATTCCATCCACAGCCAGCCCTTGGCTCCCTCTTGGGGCTCTGTGGATGTGATGAAGAAACGGTTTCCTTTGCAATCAAGGCCATTCGTAATGAGCTTTAATGGCAAATGGAGAGCACTTTTCAGGAGCAGCCATATTTTAATAAGCTATTGTTTGTTTGTTTCCTTCAGAAAGCACCATTCTCGAGGCTTTGAGACTGTGCTCATTTTCAACCACCATTCGTTTCGTGCAGGAGGATTTGACTCTCAATTCAGAGATCAAGGACAGCTGTGTACGAAAGGGAGACTTGGTAGCCATCTTTCCTCCAGTCTTGCATGTTGACCCTGAAGTCTTTGAAGCTCCAGAGGTAAATGACCATCAAGCCCATCGGTGCTGCCTCTTAGATACTGCGAGCCCATTCCTCTTCCTCCTGATCTGTCTCTTCCTCTTGCCACTTTGTTCCAGAAGGGATTTGGGACAGCTTCACGACTTCTGTTTTTCATTCTAGTGGGAATGTTTTCCTCTTTACTGAAGTGTTTCCTAAAGATCTATCTTTGAAAGTTTTCGTGATCTATAAATGGAAATACAATGATGAGACTAAATGCTAGTTGCTTCAAATGAAATGGGCATTGAGCCTTGGCCACCATTACCTTTCGACCGAAATTAAGTTTTGCTTGTGGAGAATTACTGAAAACCGTGGAGGGCTAGCTATTGGCAGGTGACTTAGAGAATAAATAAAGACAACTATTTTGCTAAGTGTTTCCAAAGTGGGGTTGACTATTCCAAAGTCAAATACCATCACTGTTGTAGTTAAGCCCATATACTTTTTAACTCTTAGAAAAGGTATGTGCCCCTTCTTGATCAATTAGTATGGCATTATGAACTTGAGATTGTAAAGCTGCTGCTCACGGGTGAAGCTCTGAGGGTAATTGTGTCATCTCCTTGTATTTTTTTCTGAAGCTGGAGTTAATGAATATCAAAGACTGGAAATTAATCCACCCTGGTTCATCCCTTAATACCACTTCAGAGATTCACCACCTGCATGCAAATTGAATGCAGTCATATTCTGCCTGTGCTTCTCATGAAGCAATGTTGCTGCAGCAGTTTTTGTATATAAAATGGTTTTTTTCAAAGGCAAATTTCTGTGCTCTTTTTAAGCAGTTCATAGCTGGACCACTTTTAAACCCAGTTTCTAAGTTACATGTTTTGCTGCTAGGCTGAAATACTGTATGTTGAATTTTGGAAATTAATAAGAAGAGGGCAGACTTCAAACACAATAAGAAAATCGGCATTAATTTCATCAGCAAAGGCAAATGACTTATGTGAGGGGAAAATGTACATATGGTCTCTATGGGTCTCAGAAGAAGAGGCATTATACGAATGATGATAACAAACGGGTTGTAGAGTATTAGCAAGTGAAAGAACATTCCACAGTTAACAAGCTTAATCTCCACATTTGTAAATATCAACAAAAAAAAATTCCACACATAAGTTCAATGTTAATAAATAAGTTAAATGTTCAATAAATAGGGAAAAGGAATAGCTAATATCTGAAAAATACTTCTAAATTTTAAAATAACTTTATTTCTGTCCATGAATTTTCATTTATTTACATTCTATTTACTATTTTCATTATATGACTATTCCACTAGTCCTAAAGTTTACCATTCATGGCATGATAGTAAAATCAACATTAAAGTTATCAACAAATACTCAGTAAATATTTACCAGGTCACCACTGTCTTTTATGGCACTGTTCTTAGGGAGCCTCCTGTTTCCCAACCCCCACCCCCATGATAAAAAAAAATACTTGATTTACACTTGTAGGAACTTAAAATCAAAGTTAAAAATTGAAAGTATGCTCATTTATATTTTTTCCTCTGGAAAACTAAACAGCAATGACCAAACTTTACATAATAAATCGACCAATCTTAATAGTAATCAGAAGGGTTTGCCTCATACTAAATCAGTGGCAGAACAGAATTGCAATGTTGTGAATACTGATTTAGCATCATTAGGGTAGCTCTAACTTGAGTTGATGAACACTATTATTTACTACATTTAACATTAGCCAATTATGTCTGACTAACGTTAAAATTAACTCAGTAATTTATTGCCACGGCATTGTTTCCTTGAAATTAGTCATGGAATGCTCATAATTCCTGGTACAAAAAAAATGATATAGTTCGGAACCACTTTTGTAGGATTTGGGAAGGTCTTATCACTCTTTCTATAAACATTTACTGAGCACCTACCAGCATTAGGCAAATAGATTTATTCCTTTGGTTCTTAACAACTTAGGATGGCAGTAAGTAGATGCTATAGATGCTCATTGATGTCCATCCCAAACCACCATGCACTGACAGTAAAGAATAAAGTTTCACAAATTTCTGTTATCAGTCATTTGTCACTGAGAGCAGGGCCCAAGAGCTCATAAGAGACTCACATTTGTCACTCCCTGCCTTTTGTATCCTACAGACCTTGCATGGGAAGACCAGATCTTAGATGTAGAAAACAGACAATAGCTGTTAGGCCAAAAAATAAGAGGAAGACTGACTGCAGATATAAGGATAGCTGTCCTTTCAAGACATAGAGACAAGAGCCTTAGCAGAACATAGATAGCTCCCAACTCAACGAGGCATGGTTTCAGAATTTCTGAGCTCTAGGAGATTCTAGAATATTGCCTTCCAAAGATAGGCCATGGTCTTCCTTCACACTGGAGAGCTTTTGCACATACATCTCCCTATGCCTGGAATGTCCCTCCTTACCTATGCACCAAGCATGCTCCAAAGTACTCCACAAGAATTCCCTTAATCACCTCTTCTTTGATGATGTTCCTGATTCCCACCTCATCCCTCAGAGAATTTGCCATTGCTCACTCTGTGGCCTGGCATACCTTTGTTAAGCTGCATACCACATGGTATTTTGCAATTATTTGTTTGCCTGTCTGTACTTGCATATGTTGTAAGCTCCCGAAGGGGAAAGACCATGTCTTCTCCATCACTGTATTCTCAGTGCCCAGCACACAGGAGTGTGTCGGTATCAGTGAAATAAATAAGGGGACGCTTGGATGGATGAATGTACTGAAAGTGAAAATATGTTTCAGTTAAAGTTTTAAATCAGGACAGATATTGCACATTCAAATATAGAGTAGGCCTAGGCAGATCAAATATGCAAGTGGCTGGCTTGTGTATAATACAGCAGTATTATTGGGAGTGGTAAGAACTATGGCAAAAAATAGACCCCAGGATGTATCTAAATAAGATCACTAGATACTTCTGAACTAGCCCTCAGGTCTGGCAAGCATTTAGACCTGGTTTGGACAAGTTATTTTGATTTTTTCTTAAAAACAACTTGAAAAAACAGACTTTTGGGTGATGCTTTGAATCTTTAAATATTCGGAAAAACAAATTTTAAAACACAGTGTGGGATAAAGAAAAGGTGTTTTGAGACCTAATTGGGCCTATGAGTGCCACCAACATGTAACCTCTGTACTAAGAATTTATTCTTTTCCTGAATGCTGATTGCTCAGCTTATCGTAATGTTAGCTACTCGGGTGGCCCTTTCCTATGGGGGAAAACAAATTATTAAGTGAAATTTAAAACAATGAGAGAGAGCAGAGGAAGCACTTCTTGATTCCCCTTCCTGTCTCTCTATAGGCATAAATGCTATCCAATAAAGTCTAATCTATTAATTAGCTAGGAGTGAACAGCTTTTAAAATTTTCCTGAGGGCTTCCTCAAATTCACATCTATCATCAGCCTGGATTTATGCAGCTAACTCTCAAATAATCAGTAGTAAATAGTGACGATTTCATTTCCGTAAAAATGCAGTATCCAGAACTGCAGCTACAGAGAAGACAGAGCTGTTGGTTGGTTTTCCTAGGTCCAGAGGCGATAAGACATAAAGAGAGACCTGATGACACTGTTGGGCTTAGAGGGAAGAAACATCAGATATTTAAGATGGCAACACGTTATTATAACCATGCAGCTTCCTAAAATAAATAAACATGGTGAAATAACAATGTAATTCCAAAACCTTGGACTATCCCCCAAAAGCTCTGAAGTTGAAAGGTCCTGTTTAACCTCATGCAATTCCCCGTTAGGTTATTTATTATTTATCATAATTAGATGATAGATACACTTGAAAGCCCTTGAAAAAATCCTAATTCACTATACCAATTGTGGTATCAATATTATTTTGATTATTGCTACTGTTCTTAGAATATACTAGTCACGATAGATGAGGATATACTCTCAATAATTTCTTGTGTGTATCTCAAACTGAAATAGAGATTGTGCCACTAAGAAACTTCAAGGGAACAAACATGTGAGCATTTATATCCAGAATGCACTTTGATAGGCATAATGGGTGACACAGAAATAAAAAAGGCCCCTGCCGCTAAGAGCTTGCAGTATAGGGACTCGGCCTTATCTCATGGCTGCTTTCTCATGGGCAGATGCTTCATATTGAGTGTGTTCCTGCCCTATCAGTGAATTGGCACTTCATACCTACCATATTGGAAGTAGCAGTGTGTTGGTAAATCAGAGCTCCCTCCGGAAAACCTTGATTTGTAGTGTTTGCCAATTTTCAGTGGTGTAAGTATGCCCACCTTGGCCATTTTCATGTTAGCAACATGAAGACCCTAAACACAAAGTTGGGAAGAGATCTACCCACTCTCACATACCGGTACAAGTGGCTGCAGCACAACACTGATTTGAACCGAAGTCATGGAGATAGAGGGGAACTTCTGTACTGTGTCACCTTGTCCCCAGGACAACTGTAAACCAGTGGCAACACTGCAGCCCGTTAGCCATCCATTCAAAACATCGACAGTTTTTGTTTATTACTAGGAAGTCATATCTTTTGTCTCATTTAGATTCTCATGCCCAAAATTATGAATTGAGTGGATATAAGATATGATCCTATGGTGTGTCACCTACCTCAGCAAGACCATGTTTTATGCCTTTGTAACTTCAATGCTTCACATACAGGAAGTGCTAAAAAAAAATCTGTTGAACTGAACTAAACATAGTATTTGGAGAACACAAATTAGAGTGTTATGCAATCTTCCTTTGTCATGTATACCAAAAATTCTTCTCTATCCAGAAAATTGTATCCTCTATCCAATCTTGATTTATAGTGCTTCAATATTATACCATTTTCCACTGTTTGTAAACACAAAATATTCATCTATTCATCATTCTCTACATGTTTACTTACTCATTCAATATCTATGTTTTCTTCAAAAGCTTGACGATTGCTTTTAAAGTATACTTTATTCCCATATATTTATTAATTCAACAAACATATATGGAATCTCTACTAAGAAATAGCATTGTGTTGGAGGCTTTAAAAATACAGACGTAAGTAAGACAGCGTGACAGCTCCAATCCCTTGGGACTTCTTGGCTCTGCCATCTCCTGTGGGTTAGCTCTGTCTTCAGCCTGGTGGCTGGATGGCTGCAGCATTTCCAGATGTCCTGGTCACACATGACTAGGTCCAGAGGATGAAGGGTAATGAACCATTTCATTTTGTTTACTTGCTTCACAAGAAGGAAACTTCTCTTAGATGCCCCCACAGACTTTTCCCCAGTAGCACTGACCAGATTGGTTCACACATCCTATCCCAAACCAGAGGCTAGAGCAATGTGATATCCAGGATTGGTGCCTGGACAGATCTTATGCAGAAGAATGGCACTGGGGAATCAATTGCAACAAACATTAGAGGAACAGTGAGAATTTTCAGTGTCTCACACCTTCTCTTGTGATTTCTCTGTTCTCATCTGTTTCATTGTCCCCTTTTAATTGTGAAGCACCAAGCTTATTATTGTCACTCCGAAGAATTTAAGTCATCATGGTGAATCCTAAAGTCTACATTGTTCCAAATGAATGGATACATTTGAGCTTCCTGACCTTTTGTTCTATGTTACTGTGACCCCAAAATCTCAGTAGTGGGATTATTATACCCCTTCTCTTTTTGGCTAAAACCCTGTATCCCCAGCGGTTGCCACAGGCCCTTCCTAACTTTGGTTCCTGCTTTCAGGTTCTCCATCCCTGGCAATAGAACAAACTGAAAATAAATTTTAACTTGAAAATATATTTATGCCCATATGCTGTTTGAGCTTGATGGTGGTCATAAAGCTAGAGACAGTGGGCATTTCCCTTTTAGTCTCATAAAATAAATAACTAAATGGGAATTTCTAAGACGTTTATTGTGAAGAGGTTGGAATGGAAGGTGATGGAGTGGCCTTACTGATTGAGTGGAAGCTTGAGGGAATTGGATGTAAAGGTCACTGTGGGGAGCACTGAAGGTCACTGTGGGGAGCAGTCCTGCATCATGTGTTTACTCTCCGAGGGCAGCACATTCATTTTCACAAAGAAGAATCTAAAAGCCATGGTGATTTCAGGCTTATTTATGATATCAAGACACTAAAAAGTCATAACCCAAACTGGAAGCAGCAGAGTTAAGCTCAGGAAATGAGGCCTGAGACCCAGGAATGGAAGAAGGTCACTGGGAGAGAGTTCCCTATAGTAACTCTATCTCCAGTAACAGCGCATGTCTACGAAGAGTTTTTAGTTCATTACTGATTAGATCCTATTCGGATATATACTAGAACTGTGGTAAAATACACTTATGTTCTAAGGGACTCAGCGTGTTCGTTGTCAAGGATTAAACAGTTATAAAAATGCAGATTGATTTTGCCATTATCATTACATTGACTTGCAAGTTGGAATAGAAACTACTCAAAGTTTTTCTAAGCTCAAATACTTATCAAAACAAATATGCTAGGTGAAGAAGGATACACCCAATACTTTTAAAGGAAATGACTCACTGATGCTAACAACACTAACATGGAGTAAGAAAACTAGATCATTTGTGATGGATTCAGAATCTATCCACATATTGTAGGGTTTTCACCCTAACCTGAAATGCTTTGGATCTGACCTACTTCCTTACATTAGACTTCATGTAGTTCATGTCAAAATTATGTGCTGAGCAAGTCTAATGTTCATGAGCTCTAACTACAGGACATACTTGGTTGTTTACATGCAAGCCATGAACATTAATTTAATCAATGGTTTAATTCATCATGGGCTAAAATAAGGTCACTCGGTCCCCTCTAAGAAAACTAAGTGAAAGTTGAACTGTAACCCATTGTCAGCAACGTGAAATTAAGATGGTGATGGGGGTAAAGCAGTCCCATAATTTTCTGTAACAAGTAATATAACTTATTTGTGAAAACATCAGAAACACCTGCCACCCTAGAGAAAACTGAAAGAGAATTCATTCTAATATAGAACTTTCATAAGAGAAATTTGCTACAACATCAAAAAACAAGCAAGATTGATTTTTGTGCCTTAGTTCCACAAAATCTCTAGTGCTTTATCTGAATCTTAATTATTTTATGTCTATTTAATCCAAACATAAGCACTGAGTCCTAAACTCATAGTTCTCATTCATCAGTAGCTTTTGGGAAGGAATAAGAGAAAAGCAAATTAGTGATCGACAGGTAATTCCTGTGGCCAGTAGGATTCATTAGTCCATGGTGACCATGGCAGTCCCACGGGAGCCCTTGCCTTCCACCCAACATTGGTATATAGAGTGTCCATATGTCAGGCCCACCTTAGGGAGCAAAAATAGAGATACTGCCTCTGTACTTAGGAATCTCATCATAGCAGAGAAATATGAGTAAGGAAAAAAAGTCATACAAGTGTTCGAATTCCACTTTGATATGGGAAAAGTAACTTCCTGAGTTTTTTGAAAGTTCATACATGATTTGCACTTAGTTAAGTTTGCTTTCTGGTGTTTGCCTGATTAAAAGGAGGCTTTTAAGACAGGCAGTGTGAGCTAGCAACTTTGTGGACCTGAATTCAAACTGTTTCATGTAAAATTTTAATTTGACTCTCTGTTCTTCCATTTTCTACAGGAGTTTAGATATGATCGTTTTATAGAAGACGGTAAGAAGAAAACCACCTTTTATAAAAGAGGAAAAAAGCTGAAGTGTTACCTAATGCCATTTGGATATGGAGCCAGCAAATGTCCAGGCCGATTTTTGGCAGTTATTGAAATAAAGCAATTGTTGATTGTACTTTTAACTTACTTTGATTTAGAAATAGTTGATAATAAGCCTATAGAACTAAACTACAACCGCATAATGTTTGGTATTCAGCATCCAGATTCTGATGTTTTATTTAGGTACAAGGTAAAATCTTAGAAAAGCTAAAACAAAAGAAAAGAAATCTATCAAAATTAACAAAAAGGTCCTAAGATCATCTATTTGTTTTTAATTTCTGCATATGTAATTGCTTTATTTGTTTAAAACGTGCCAATTTCTATTTGATCTGAGATCAGTCCAGTTTGTACTTGGTCACAAAGCCTATCATAAAATAAAACAGGATGGTGGCATGAAAATTGACATCAAAATAAAATTAATGATAAGCTCAAAATAGTTATTTTTTGTTTCTGTTTATTGTAATTTTCACCTGTTATAATAAACGTACCTTCCCAGCAATGGATTTGGCACTGTGAGATTTTTCAAGTCACTCAAATTCTTCTCTAATATGTAAAAATACACTTTGTGTACTACTGGAAAATTGTGCTGAAAATGGACACAGTCTAACGAATTCCAAATTCTCAGAGAAGAAGGAAATTAAATTTCCATGAGCTACACTAGATGAAAATGTTCCTTTCAAGTATAATATCAATAATATCTGTGTTGCCAGGGTACGTTTGCATTAAATGAGTTTTGCAGTAGATTAAATGCTTCAATTTTACTTCAATATTTAATCATCCATAAATGCTCTTTATTATTTTGTATACTATGGCTCAATAGAACAAAATTTCTTGTTATATAAGACCTCTCATGTTCCGGTTAGATACTGATAAGATTTAGTGTATAAGAAAACACAAAATTTGTTATATATTCAGCAACTGTTCTAGAGAGTAGTATCAGGTTTATTTTAATAGCAAATGTTGAAATCATTACAGCATTGGTTGTAGCATTTGGCTATAGTGTTAACTATAAGGGTTATGCCAATATTGTAATTAACCTTTCCTAAGTGCTTCCATTTATATAAACTGAGAAACTAGGTAGCAGTATTTGCTTGATGAGATGACATCTCATCTTTTGGGCATGGAGTTTGTGCGTATTATTTTGAATTACAATATTATGTAATGCAATATAATTTCATATGACATGCACCTTTGTGTCAATGATTCAAAGATTGTCTAAGAGTACCAAGTGATTGGCATCTGATGTAAATGATGGTACAATATATAAACAGGCAAGGCAGGTAATAAAGCCCAGATAATTCCTGCTGCATTAATTGGAACTTCTAATATTTCAGAAATTTGCTATCGTGTTTAAAAAAGAAATTGATTTTTAAAATAACATTATAAAATACTTAATAAGTAAATAAAATATTCTAGCATTATTTTCTCCTTCCTGAAGTCCATGTTCTGAATGTTCCTTTAGTGAAGGGCTGCCAGTGTAAATTCTGCTTTTGCTTGATTGAGGATGTCTTTATTCTTACCCTCAATCTTGAAAGATGGTTTTGCTTTATGCACAAGTCTAAGTTGACAGTTATTTCCTCACAGCACTTTGATGATACGGCATGTTTTTAAGACATCCAACCTTGTTATAGAGAGGTTAACTGTCAGTCAATTGAATTACTCAGCAGGTCCTCTGTCTCGTCTCTCTGACTACTTTAACATGTTCTCTTCGTCTTTGATGTTCTTAATTTCTATTTATCCTGCTTGCATGTAGTGCTGCTTCTCGAGTCTTGAGAATGGTTGTCTCTTATCAAGTATGGGATATTCTCAGGAATTCTCTTTTTGAATATTACCTCTCTCAGACTGCACATTAGATCTTCTCACTCTACACACCATGTTTGTATTTGACCCTTTCTCACCACATTTTCTACTTGTAACTTACATTCCATGTAACTTCTTTAGATATCTCTTCCAATTTCTTCTCAGTACAACATATCTAATCTGCTCACTAGCTCATCCATCGAGTTTGTTTTTACCTTCTTTTTATTTTAATTTCAGGTTCATAGGGTTGGGTAATCCATTCCTTATACCCCTTAGATCATGATACGCTGTTATACTTGGTTCAAGCAAGGCCCTTCTAGCTTTATTTACTTATTTTATTTTGTCCCTAACCCCCACCATCATACCCCTTCCCATCAAAGGTAAATATTCTAACGTGTTTGATTTGTGTATTTTTATGTGTATGTTTTTTTCCAACAATTGCAGAATATGCTTTATTTTTTAAGTATGCAGGGAAAATGTACAAGTAGAAATGACAGATCATGGGCAATAAAACCAATTTCAGCAGATTTCAATCATTGAATTGCATATAGCACTATTCAAATCTAGACCATAATGCATTTAAGCTAGAAGTCAAACAAAAAGATCACTAGACTATTCTCATATGTTTGGAAATTTAAAATTATACCTATATATCTATATCTCCATATCATGAGTCAAGTAAGAAATTATAATGGAAAAATATTTTGAACTGCACAATAACAAAAACACTACATTTCAAACTTGTGGGATTCAGAAATCAAAGTGATTGCAAATCAAGAGAGTGCAGGCATCCGTGAGAACTCAGGAACAATGGGAAGGATGGCTGGGGTTTCTCCATGTGTTGCCTGAGGGCTTGAGTCCCTTTATTTAGACCCTTTATAAAGGAAACAGGGACTGTGGAAGGTTGTAGAACTTTGACACTTGGATTACACAAGAACAGATAAGTTACTATACAAAAAGTTTGTCAAAGTGGTTATTTCAATGAAGTATTTTCTTAGGGAGATGGGCAGACAGACACAAAAAATTACTTCATTTCTAAATTATTGGAACTTTATGAACATTAGTTTGTAATACATATTTTTGAAACTTTTATAAGAAATAAAACAAAAATTCATAAAATGCTCATTGCTGGGTCCTTATCACCAATCTCTGCTGGGCCGTCCGTGCAGGTGAGAGTTCCTGCCAACATTCCTCTCCTGTCCACGGGACCAGGTTCCAATACCCCTCATTCGACAGCCCCTGCTCCAGCCAGCTGAGCCCTTGGTGGGGGTTCCCTGCCACAGTCCTGTCACGTCTACAGGCCCCTGGGTCAGTGGACATCCTACAGCAACTAACCCATCATCTTCTCTTCTTGAGGCTCTTATTCCCGAAGTCTTGGTTTCTGTCCCCACCATTGCAATACTCCAGGGCGGCCAGGTTCAAGTCCTCATAGTCATCTTTGACTCAACTTCACATTTGTCTCTCCTATTTAACGAGACACCAACTAAATTAAATGCAGTGAACATTTTAATGTGTATGTTTTTATGTAATAAATGTTAATATCTTGAGTACCTATGTTTTTAACTTGCATAAATGTATTTTCTATAAATCATATCCTCAATTTTCTGATTAAGCTATAAAATATATTTTAAAATATATCCATGTTGCTTTATATACTGTATTTAATCTGTTGCATCTAACTACTGCATAGTATTCCATAATGTACACCCACCACGTTTTAATGATCTGTTCACCCAGTGATGGATACTGTAAGTCGGGGCAATTAATGTGGAAGAGAGGCCAAGCCTCTCACCTTGACTGCCACACTAGAAAAAAATTTTTTTTCCTTGGGAGCACAGTGTTTTATTGTGAAAATAGAATAAAAACTTCAAAAACAAAACGATCTTTTCTAATTTAGTGGACACTTTGTTATTTTTTATTGTTTCCGTGCATGAGTTATATACAATTTAATTGTCAATATTAATTGTAACAATAAGTACATCAACAAGTAAGATTTTCATGAACCAACTGCAGTTACATATGCTCCACAAGGCCCTGGGCTCAAAACTAGCATGAGTTAAATACAACTCAAGTGGCAGTTAATGTGTTAAAAACTCTTCCCTCACTTATCCTCCCACTATTGTGCCCAGCTACCCTCAGCCCTGGGCTAGTACATACCCTGTCCCCAACCTCTCCCCTCCCCCCAACACAAGTAGTCCATGACAACCTTTATCTAAGATGTTCTAAATTTGTTATATTCCATCCTCAGATCCATGCAACCCTCTCCATTCTGTTTGGTCTCCAAGGTTGACTTTGAGTCAGGGCACAAGCCTCCAACTTGTCATCCTTCAGGTTTTCCATTCCACTGAGTTCGATAAATTCAAACGATTACATTTTTGAGTTTGAAAATTCCCTTTTGTTCTTCATCTCTGCTGGTCATTTTTGATAATATCTTATTTCTTCATCATACACTCAATATATTTTTTCATTTCTTTAATCATATTAAGCAAACGTTTTACATTCTATATCAGATATTTCCAAATCATCAGTGTTTTGTACATATGATTCTATACTTTGTGTGTTTATTTTTCCTTTTGCTCTTACCTGGGATGGCTTTTTTACTGAGCCCCATGTTCCTTGGTCCTTTATCTCTGAAAATCTTTTAAGACTTGGATTTGAAGTTGATTCTTCCAGAGAGAATTTGTGTTTGCTTTTGTCCTACTGCTGATGTTACCTTCTAACTCAGATCATTTTAAAATTTCGGCTTGGTTATCTGGGATGGGGAGGTCAGGCCACATAGGTATTATGGTTTCTAGACCTAAATCAGGTAGAATGCAATTCTGTTATTAAGAATAGACAGGAAATACTTGTGGGGGTTCCTTTATTTGTTTGTTTTTACCCAGAGCCAAGGCTGAGACAGGCAAATATGCCCACAGTTTTGCTCTGTGGAACAAAGTTTCTTTCCAGTTCACCTACAAAATATGTTGGCTCTGCCAGTTCTTGGCTTTATGCAGAGGTCTTGGATTTCACACACTCACACACACACACACACACACACACACACACACACACACACGGAGGTATGCCCAGCTTGGGCCCCGGGCTTTATCTCTTGTCTGCCATAAAGCATAGTCTGTCCATTTTTACACTAGGACATCAGTCCGCCATATTGCCTAAAATGGAAACCTCCATATTCCTTAAATTCAACTTAGCAGTACACTTTTGTAATGTTATAGCAGAGAGAACACAGGAAATTATTCCATTCTGATTTCTGCTTAATTTATAATTAGAAGTGTGTACAGAAATTTAGAATAGAAAGTAAGAATAAGTAAAATGTTTAAGAAAAGATTAAGAAAAGGAATGGATAGCAAAACCAAAGCAAGACATGAGACTCTTGTGACAAACTTCAATACAGTAACTAAATAGTGTTTATGAATAGAAAAAAAAATATCATGGAGAAATCAGTTAAAAGACATGGATTCTAGCTATAACGTAATTGGTTTATCATTAAGAAGTCACTTTTCCTCTCAGTGCTTCAGTGTCCTTATTTGCAAAATAAAAGTAAGGCCTTTTGACATCAGGGTTCTTTATAAGGAATAAACACAGAAACATTTGTGAATTTATTTTGAAAAGCATTGATATGAAGCAGTATACCAATGTAAGGTATACTTAACAGAGATCCTTAAACAATGTTGTGTCTTTTAAAAATTGCCCTTACGTATTTGTTAAAGGGAATAGTTTTTTGATTATTCATTTATTCAACCAAACATTTATCAACCATTTCCTCTATTATAAATATGATGCTAAGCATTGGATTACCCTTTCCCTTCAAAAACACACAATTTGTTAGGGAAAACAACACATGCACAACTAATTTATTATCATGTAGTTAGAAACTTACGTCTTTAAAACTATTTTAAAGTTCAGATTTATCACCAGTTCTAACTAGCCCTCCATCAGTCATCCCAAAGTAGTGTTCCGTAATGAGAAGTCACTGTGTAATTTAGTTACAATAAAACCATATACAACAGATATTGTGATAATATGATAAAATAACCAAAACAAAATACAGTCATTGAGGCTCCAGAATTTTTTTTTAAAACTCTAGTATATGTTGTAAAAATCCATCTTTTCATTTTTACAGCTTCACCTAAGTTTCAAATTAAAGCAAATAGATAACTAATACCCAAGATATCATTTTATATCTACCAACAGTACTGAAACATTTGATTAGCAGAAACTAAAGCCCTGAAGGAGTTAAGAAAAAGTTATTTATTATAGCTCAGGCATAATGATAAACAACCTAGAAGAAAACTTTTATCTACGTTGTTTTGGCTTTCCTGTTACATTTCCTTATATTCATCTCCATTTTATCATTTTAACATTTTCTGTAAGCATCTTCTAACTTAATAGTGGAATCTTAAAACTGTTCAAAGACCAAAGCATGAGATTTATGTAAGTTTTGATCTCAGTATAAAGAATGGCAATAATTATATAAACAAGAATTACATGCCTTCAGAATGTGCACTTTTTT